GAAGAACTGCTGTAGGGAGCCGGACAACGATGGAAGAGCAGAGGAGAGAGTTCCTGAGTGTGATAAGCAGGGTCCTCCAGTTGGCCTGGTCAGATGACAAGCTAATATTGTGTGCAGCGGCACTTCTCGGATGGTCATTCACTGCAGAGCGTTCCTTGACATTTAAGGGACTCAGTGAATACGCATGGTGGGGCTTTTGTAGGTATACAGTTGTTCATATGGAAAATAATATGATAAAACATACTGCAAGAATAAACTGTGTTTTGTGGAGCCACAACTGTGAACCTACTTTTGCCCCACGCTGTATTCAGCAAATATTTATTGAATGCCTCTCCTGCTCGGTTGTGTTCTAAGTGTTGGGGATGTCACAGGGAACAAAACAGACAGAAATCTCTACCCCCGTGGAGCCTACAATCTAGTGGGGGGGGGGTAAGAATGCCATAAATGAGCAGATTTACATGGTCAGAGGTGGAAACTGTTGTGCAGGAAATGCAGTAGGAAACGAGGGATACGGATACGGGTCGGTCAGGAGAGGCCTCTCCAGGAAGTCGACGGAGACTTGAGTGAATGATGCGGGAGAGGAGCAGCGTGGATGTCTGAGGAAAGTGTCCCGGTCGAGAGGACAGCCAGTGCAGAGGCTTAAGGTTGAAGCAAACGAGCGTGGCCAGAGGAGGGAGAAAAGGGGGAGAGATGGGAAACTCCAGGAGGTTGGGTCCCAAGGGCTTTGTCTGCCCTGGAAAGACTTTGACTTTCTGCTGAAGGAGATGGCGAGTCACCTGTCATGGGGGGACTCGGAGCAGAGGAGGGACATGATCTAACTTCCACAGTCACAATTGCACTCTGGCTCCTGGGTCCAGGTAAGAGATTTTGTGGCTGGACCACAGTGGTAGCAGTAGAGGTGGTGAGAAGTGGCCAAACAGGAGATACACCTTGAAGCCAGTGGGATTCCAGGAGGGATACAATGTGCAATATGAGTGGGTAGGTGGGTTTGGGGGAGGGGAGATTCAAGGATGACCTCCAGTGGGAAGGACGGACTTGCCATTAGTAAGGTGGGGGAAGACTATAGGGAAGGAGGATTCTTGATTTCTGCTTGTTGGTTTGGTAGGGGCTGGGTAGAATGATAGTATGTCCACTGTGATGGTCAGAGGGACAGGGCAGATGACCACAGGCTTTGCCACTCCTGTATCCTCACAACTGCACCCTTAGACACTGACCTCTTGAACTTGAAAGGACACCTGCCCGCAGCACTGGGACTTGTGCTCAGACTGGGGCTGTTGTTGAGTGGAGGCCTTGAGAAGTAGCCAGGAGAATTTTGGAAGGCGAGTGCCTGTTGGGCCGGGGCTTCCTGCTGGCGCAAACCGTCAGGGATGGGTCTTCCTTCTGGATCACTCCTTTTCCCTTCTCTGTCTTAATATCCCCTTGTCATCACCATTCCCTGTTGGTTCCAGCCAGGACTTCTCTGACCACTGACCGACCGCATTCGAACTGCTCTCTTCCTCCCTTGCCCACCAAGCAGCACAGCCCCCTCTCGTGATGACAGGAACACACGCCAGTATTGTGGTCGATTCTTTTCTTTATTCTCCCCTGCCCGGTCTGTTTTGGTATCTATCTCAGTCTGGTACACGAGAACTCTGTCTTCACTGGACTGCACTGATGTATACTTAGTACATAAGACAATCAGAATGCACCTACATGTTATAAAAATACATTTGCTGGGAAAAGAGAGTCTGATATTTCTGGGCATTTTTACATCCCACTAGGAGGACCACAGTGGTGGGGAAGGAGGGCGACTGGTTGAGGGTTAACCTTCTCTCTTCCTTCCCACTTTGCAAGCTTCCACCGTTGCCCACTCCCACCTGTCCTGCTCCCATGACTCTCCTTTTGACCAGGTGAGCTGCAGGTGGCCTGCTGGTGCAGCAGGGCATGGGGCACGTCGGCAGGAGAGGAGGAGAGTTTCTGAGTTCCAGAGCTCTCAGCAGGCAGCAGGATAAGTCTTGCTGGTCTGGAGTCTGGAGCAGCGGGCCCCGCTCCGGGCTTCGGAAAGGTAATCCTGCCTTCTCTCGGAGACTGAGCACCAGAGGAGGAGCCAGAGACAGAGAAGGGGGTCAGCAGGTGGTTAACATGGTTTGTTCAAGGGAAGGTCAAGGCCTCGACTGGCAGGCTTGACCGCGAGGGACTGAAGGAAAGCAGAGCTTGAGAAGGAGAAGTGGGGGAGCCCGGTGTCTGGCAGAGGCGGAGAGCAGAGCAGGAGGGAATGGCCACAGCTGGAGGCTGAGCCGTGAGAGGCGCAGCAGAAACAGCGAGGGCAGGGGGGCAGAGGAGTTTGGTGTAAATGGAGTTCGAAGAGCCCCCACTACACGTCAGGTTCCCTACATGGGCAGAAATACCCTGGAATTGCCACGACAGCCACTTGGAAGGCAGATGGAAGGAGAGGGTGAGCTCAAGGGAGACTCGGGGCTGGAGAGAGACGTGGGAGTCCGGGCCGTGAGTCCTGGTGATGGAGGCGGTGGCGGTGGGCGAGGGGCTGCCCCTCAGCTCCCCAGAGATCAGTCATCGCCCTGTCTTTCTCATGCACACACCCCTCAGAAACGCTTCTGCTGAGGCATGTTTTGTGCTGGAAGAGTGATGAAAGATAGCTTTGCCTCTGAACAGGAACTAAATTATTTGCCGCTAAACCAGCAACTGCTCAGCCATTACTCATGAAATGGCCATTATCAGTCACACACATACACACGCACACGCACACGAGCTTCCCTCGGAATTTTGAGTGTCTTTCAGCAGTTTGTTGAAAAGATGGTGGTGACAGAATCTGTGGTAGTGCAAAGTACCTCTTCCCATTAACCACCCCTGCAGGCGTCTGCTGGGGTCCGAGCGGTGCGGGACAGCACGGCCGGCCCATGAGTCCCTATGGACCCAGGCCGGGCGTCGGGCCATTGTGGGGTGTCTCAGGCGTGTGGCGCTTCCTTTCCTGTCACATCTGTTCGGCCACCTCAGCTGAATCGTATAAATTTGGTTTGGGTGCCTTAGGTCCTAAAGGGTTGCACATCTCTTCGTAGTATAACTTCAGGTATAGGGAGACCTTGTGAACAGATAATTTCAGTAGAAGAGCTCATTGTTTGAAATAGTCGTGATCAAGGTAACTTGCTTTGGGGGGAATACGGTAAATTATACTGCTTGTTTCCCACTGGCTTTGTCAGGCAGGTTATTAGCTAACGTTTCAAACACTTTGCTGCACAAGTAATTAAGCTGTCGGACGACACCCGCACCGCTTCATACCTGCATCGTGCAGTTAGTTCCTGCAGCAGAAGCAGTTTGTAGCTCACTGCTCTGATTGGATAGTGTGGCTTTTTTTCCCCGCATAAAAAGGTCTGATAACATGTACAGGAAGCCAGTGCCAGGATTGATCCGACTGGCTTTTCTTTCCTTGGAGAGCTTCTCCTTAGCTCCCCCGAGAGCCAGGAGACGCCCTCCTGCCCACCAGGCGAGCGCTCCAGCTGGCCGGCGGCAGTTACCGAGATTGAAATCAGGCACCAGACAGCCATGCTGATAACGCTGCTCTGCAGGGCAATTACCACCCCCTCCAGTTCCACAGAAGGTGTTGAAAGGGACTGCTTGTCAACAATTTTATATATTCGGTTGGCATTAGTTAATTTTTTTTCTTTAATCAAACCAGGAAAAAGAATGCAGTTTCTAAAGATTTGTTTTATTTTATACGTTAGTATGCACATCCATGTGGTGAAAAATTTTTCATCAGTTACAGGGGAAAGGTGATTTTCCTAAACAAACAAACTGATCTTATTCTGTGTACTACATTATATGTGTCTGTAGTTATTTAACATATGCATAATTTTTTTTGGCTTCTCCACTGGGTTGTGTCTCTTAAAAAAGGATAAAGAGCTTCTTCTGCTATTGCTTTCCATAAAAATCCTATCATAGCATTAGGTCTGTAATAGACCATTTTATAATACATCTGCTTTGGATGAAACTCAAATGTGGTGGAAAATGCATGATTCGTATTTCCAAAATCTGGGTTTCATTTAGACTGGAAGGATTCTTAGTACTTAACCACCATATATTCCCGTCTACTTATGCTTTGTGCCTGCCCATGCCTGTCAATCTAGTGTGTCAGGGTTGTTCCATGAAATCACTTGTAGAACAATACTCCATCCTCAGGATTTAACTGGTGCTTTGTACAGAGGTCCTTGCTACCTGATTTTGAAGGAACAGTTGGGCTGCAACAGAGCTGTGTTCCCCTGGCATTATTGACACCATGGTATTTGCTTGGGCATTTTCACTGATGTATGAGAGGGACCACCCCCCAAAGTGGAACAACCTCCTGGAGGACGGGCCCCTTGTAGTGCAGGCTTCCCCTGCTATGTGAGTGTTCTAGGAGCCCATCTGTATCAGTGCACGAGCTGGCGTTGTTGTGAGAGGCTGTGTTCGACTTCAGTGAATTTTTTTTTTAACTCTTTCAACATGTTTTCCCATTTCATGACGGGTGATTTACAAACACACCCATCCACACCACGCTGAGTGTTCGGCAGTTTTTGACCAAAACCAGCATGACCTTGTGCTGCCCCTATTCACCTGATCTTGCCCCAAGTGACTTTTATTTTTGTTTCCCTGGATGAAAAAAATCCTCAGAGGGATGTTTTGCTGATGGAAGAGGTGAAACAAACAAAAAAAAATAGCATAAGCACTAAAAGGCACTAAAATCAATGAGTTCCAAACCTGCTTTGAGCAGTGGAATAAAGGTCTTGGTAGGGGTACTGCATCAAATGGAGAGTGCTTTGAAGGTGACTGAAGTTTAAACATGTGAGAATAAATACACAGTTTTTTATAAGTAAATTCTGTTTTTTTTGGGTTCCCTCTCATATTAAACAATAGCATATTAAATAATAATGTCTTAAACAGTGGAGAATACCACGTGTTCCCCATCACCTGACAGATAAATCTGAGCAACCAGAGCTGAAGGGTCATTCGTTCTTTGTTTTTCAAAGGTCTCACCAGAAAATCGAAGACTCGGAGGAAAGCAGTGACGAAATTCTTGCTCGCCTGACATCTGCGGTAAGGCCATGCAGTTTCCCTCCTTAGGGCGCGGAAACGGTGCATTCGGGCTTTGAAGGGAGGCGTTTGGGTGAAGGTGTGGAGACACTTGCCCTGGGCCTGCTCACCACTGTGAGAGGCCCGGGTCAAGGCAAAAGGGGACAATGGCGTTGACTTGTGACGCTTGATGCAGCCGCTCCTGCGAGAGCATCGATGCTCCTGGTGGGAAACTCCTGGAACCTTAGTGGTGGCGTAATATCTGATTTTTAAACTAGAGAAAGTTGTGACCGTCTGCACAGAGAATAAAAGGCTGTATGTTTTACTGGGGAGCGGGGGAAGAATTTGCCAACAAAAGGCCACGTTGTTGACTTTTCATGTACCGGATTGCAGTATTTTCACTGTGTTTTTTAAAGCCCCAAATCAGAATTGGTAATTGCCTTGTTGGCTGAAGAAAAGCACATGCCTGTCCTCACAGAAAAAGCTGGCTGTGGTCACTCATCATGGCCCTTCAGTTCTGAGGCTTGAGCAGTCCTTCACAAAAAACACCCGATGCTTGGCTCTCTGGGAACTTCTCCAGCCTACCAGTGGTTCTCTAATTCTGCTTTAACTGTCTCATGGAAACGGTAGTGGCTGCAGACCGTGCTGGATCGGGTTATGTATGTGAATGAAACTGGCGCTGTTCAGTTTTACACATCAGGCTGCCATCAGGGCACAGCCTCAAAGTTAAAAGTTGCCCTTTTTGTTTTTCTTAAGCACAGCTTAGAAAGGTAATTTTTGACTAAATACAGTGACTGGTGGTCTAAAACTTCATGCAAAGTAGAATCTTGACAGTGTGTTAAGAAAAACTGTCTAGCGTGAACTTTGCAGCTTAGTTTTACTTATTTATCTTTTTTATCAAAGTATAATTGACACACATCATTATATTAGTTTCAACATAATGTCTCAATATTTGCATATATTATAAAATGAATCACCACACTGACTTTAGTTAGCATGTGTCACCATATATAGTTAAAGACCTTTTTTCTTGTGATGGGGGCTTTTAAGGTCTATTCTTTGGTGACTTTCAGATACTCAATGCAGTGCATAATTAACTAAAGTTACCATGGTCCGCATCACAGCCCCCTTGCTTTATTTATTTTTATAAGTGGAAGTTTGCTCCTTTGACTCCCTTCACCCATTTTGCCCACCCCTCACCCAGCCTCTGAATAATATTCCATTCTTTTTATCCATTTATCTGTCAGTGGATACTTAGGGGTGCAGATGTCTTTTCTAGTTAGTGCCTTCCTTTGCTTGGATATATTATCTAGGTGTGGAATTGCTGGATCATGTGGTAGTTGCGTTTTTAATTTTTTGAGGAAAGTCCATACTTTTATCCACAATGTTGCACCAGTGTACATTCTCACCAACAGTGCACAAGGGTTCCCTCTTCTCTACATCTTTGCCAACACTTATTATTCCTTGTCCTTCTGACAGTAGCCATCAGATGTGCAATGACATTTCATCATGCTTTTGGTGCTCGTTTCCCTGATGATGAATGATGTTCAGCATCTTCTCATATCCATTAGCCATCTGCATGTCCTCTTTGGAAAAATGTCTATTTAGATCCTCTGGCCATTAAAAAAATTTTTTGCCCTTACCTGAGAACATGCTTATTGATTTTAGAAAGGGGGAAAGGGTGGGGAAGAGAGGAAGAGAAACATCAACATGAGAGAGAAATGTCGATTGGTCCCCTCTCATACATACCCCGACCAGGAACCAATCTCACAGCCTAGGTATGTGCCCTGACCAGGAATCAAACCCATGACCCTTCCATTTATGGGCCAGTGCTCCAACCAACCAAGTCACATGGGCCAGGGCTCTGCCCATTTTTAAATTGGATTTTTTTTTTGTTTTTGTTTTGTTTGTTTTTTGCTGTTGGGCTGTATGGATTCTTTATATATTTTGGATATTAATTCTTTTCAGATATATAATTTGCAATTATTTTTTTCCGTTAGTACATTGCTATTTCATTTTGTTGGTGGTTTTCTTTGCTGTGCATAAGCTTTTTAGTTTGATGTGGTCCCACTTACTGATTTTTTGCTTTAGATTCAAAAAAGTCATCATCAAGACTAATGTAAATGAGTTTGTTTCTCATGGTTTAATCTAGAATTTTTATGGTTTCAGGTCTTACATTCAAGTCTTTAATCCATTTTGAGTTAATTCTTGTATATGGGTTAAGATAGTGGTCTAGTTTCATTCTTTTGCGTGTGACTGTCCAGTTTTCTCAATACCATTTACTAAAGAGATCATCTTTCCCCCATTGTATATTCTTGGCTCCTTTGTCATACATTAATTGACCATATAAGCACGGGTTTATTTTGGGGCTCTCTATTTCATTTCATTGATGTGTGTGTCTATTGTTATGCCATACCATACTGTTTTAGCTACTGTAGTTTTGCAGTATAGTTTGAAACCAGGAGTATGATGCCTTTAGCTTTGTTCCTGTTTGTCAATATTTCTTTGGCTATTAGGGGCCTTTTGTGGTTCTACAAAAATTTTAGTGTTGTCTGTTCTGTTTCTGTGGAGAGTGCCACTAGAATTTTGTTGGAGATTACATTGAATCTGCAGAGTATGCTGTTTAAAGTATTGACTAGGCACTAGTGTGGGCAAAATCCTTACAGAGGCACCCCCCACGGCCAGATACCATGTTGAACATTTTATATGTGTGCACACACATTCTGTTCAACTTCACAACAGCCCTAAGAAATAGGTGGCGTCATCTCTGTTTTATAGCTGTGAGAGCTTGTGGAGGTTATTTGCCCAAGGCCATCCATTCATAATAGAACAGAACAAAGCCATAATCTAAACACAGAATTTTCTACTTCCTAATTATGTTCTCTTAACTACTGTGGTTCATTTTTTTCATAATGTAATATAGTTATTGAGATATTTTTTGGAAGCAGCAAATACATGTAAGGTGTGGTCCCTACACCTTTATCAGGAAGACAAGTACTTCTTGAAAGTTAATGTATAAATTGATTGGCAATTGGGCACCAAAAAATTGTGGTATATAGGCAGCGAACTCAAGAACAGTAAGAGAAAGCTTCATTGAAGAGACTGGACTTGAACCACCATTGCAATGTCAGGTTCTGAGCAGGTGATGAGGAGGAGGGTATATACTCTAGCTGTGGGGTTCATAGTGTTCAGGCAGAGGAATGAGAAAGTACAGTAAAAAAATAGCGAGTAGACCCCGCCACCCCCCCCCCCCCAAGTAGAGAAGGCCCTAGTTGAGAAAGTGATGAAGCAGACATTGAAGAGAGATGATGGGTTGGAGGTGGGGAGCCTGGCTGAGAAGCTGCTGAACACCTAGTGTGTAGTGGGTTTTGTGGGAACCAAAACAGACCAGTTCAAAAAGGAACACAAAGAATTTTTTAAAATCAATGGAACTGGGTATAAAGGTAGAGGAGGAGTCAGATGACTAAAGTTCTGAACTTGCTTGAGTGGGAAAGTGATGATACTCAGGAAGGTGAGCAAAGTATGTGGAAGGTGAGATGACATATTTTTGGGCAGACTGAATTTGAGGAGGTAAGGACAAAAAAGTACTCGGGAAATGCCTGGAGACGCGAATCTGGAGTTCAGAGAGGTCGGGGCCGAAGCACTGGGAGTCAGCACAGAGAGGCCGTCCACTGCGGAGCGGAGCGGAGGATAGAGTCCCGGGCAGGAGGGCAGTAGGGAAGTGACAGTAGGAATGACTTCTCTCGAGAAAGTCAGATTCCAGAAAGCCTATATAAAAAAGGGATGGATAGCAACGTGTTTGCTGTATATGTGGCTGAAGTCACCTTCCTAGAAAAGTCTCCAAGATAAGAGACTGAATAAATTGAGGTGAGGTGCTAGAGTAGTGGTGTTTATGCATGAGAATTACCAGCAGAGGAGAAAATGTCATCTCTTCCGTTGGCCCAGAATAGTGAAAATATCATTAAAGGGAGATTGAGGACCTTGAGTCTTAATTCTTCCAATGGCGTGACCTTGGTTGTGGCAAGTCTCGAGTGGTTAGACTAGACAGTATCCAAGTTCTAAAATTTCTTCAGTCATTGCATAAACATTTAAGAGACTGTTGTGCTTTGGTCTTTATGATGTAATTGTTCCTATTGATTGTGGTATGAAAACTCTGGAACCTGGGTGTTAACACTTTGCAGGAAGGGAACTATTTTCATACCTTACTCAAGTTAATGATTCTCATCTCCCAGGACCCAGAACGCATCCATTAAAGGGAAGCGAAAGTGACGTCTGTGTTGCAGCATTGCTGAGGGGCTGCTCAGGGTGGGTGTGGTTTGGGGGACACTGGAATGGGGGCAGCAGTGATACAGGTCCCTGTACTGTCTGGTACACTCACCTCTCTTTATTCAAGTTTGGGAGTTTTGTAGGTGGCTGTCTTTCAAAAAAGCCCTCCTGTCTTTAACCCCCATGGTTTATGTCTTTGTCCCAGGTTGGGTTCATCAAGGGAAACACCCTGTCATCTAAAACATAATAATTCCTGAAATTCTACCCTGGAAGAAAACATAAGTGAGTTTTCATAGGAAAGGAACATGAGAAGGTAGTCCATGTGCAGAAATTTTTAAAAAATGTCTTTATGATCACGTCAGATTTGCAGTTGTTGAATTTATACAAACAGGAATGATAAAAATGTCCCAGCCATGATTCTGGTGATTTTCAGCAAAGAGCCACCCTCCCAAGTGCCTGGTGTCCACAGACCTAAACAACAAAACTCTGTAAGAAGTTTTCAGCTTATGGGAAAGGACATGGATACAATAGAACCTTCTGCTGTATAAGGTCTACGGAAACACTCTGGATATTATCATCTGGAAACCATTTCTCTGTTGCGCATGCGGTTTCTGCCTTAGCACTGTAGCTCCCTTTCTAATGTCTTCTGACCCTACAAGTTTTGTTGCCTTGAAAAGTTTCTCTTTTTCTTTTGCTACAAGTCTGTTGGTTTGGTAAAGCTGGTGGGCTGAGAAGGGCCCTTGAATGACAGCCTATGT